AAAAAAAAAAAAGAAATGATCACGTTCTGGATCGGAAATAGACTGAAGGGAGAGGAGCCAGAAGACACAGGGTTATCACTGAGCAGCCACAAAAGATAAGGGGAGACGGTTGCTGAGAACAGAGAGAGAGAGAGAGAGACAGAGATCTGAGTTGGGGGGAAGCTGGCACTGAGTTACACCCAGCTTACTCACAAATGAAAAGCACACACTTGTCTTACTTGGGACTGGTTGCTAAACTGAAAATGAGCTGGTTACGAACACCGTAAAAACACCCCGATGGAGTAGCCCTTCACTAAGAGCTCTGCGGGACAACGATGCACTTGAACCGTCTAACATAACCACGCACAACCTAAAAGCAAAAGACAGGTAAAGTGCTTGCCAATTCATTCATTCCATACATAGGATTAGGAAGCAAATGAGGACAAGTTTTTACTGCCTTGACCATAAATTATGAACCAATCATGAACGTTTCTTTTATAAAAGACAGTTGTGCAGGGGCGCCTGACTGGCTCAGTCGGCGGAACATGCAACTCTTGGTCTCGGGGTGGTGAGTGTGAGCCCCGCGTTGGACATAGAGATCACACACACACACACACACACACACACACACACAAAGGTTTGTGCAAATGAGGAGACGAGCTCAGAATTCCAATCTGAAGAATTTAGGGGCATCTACCTGACTGATTCTGTTAGTAGAGCACGCAACTGTTGATCTCAGGGTTGTGAGTTCAAATCCCACGGTGGGCATGGAGTGCACTTTAAATTTTTTTTTCAGTGTTTATTTTTCAGAGACAGAGAGAGCGTGAGCAAGGGAGGGGCAGAGACGGGGGGAGACACAGAATCCGAAGCAGGCTCTGGGCTCCGAGCCGTTGGCGCAGAGCCCAACGCAGGGCTCGAACCCACGAACCGTGAGATCGTGGCCTGAGCCAAAGTCAACCGACTGAGCCACCCAGGCACATCCCGCATGGAGCCTACTTTAAAAAAAAGTAACAAAAAATATAGTTTTTAAAGATCGATGTCGTATGCATTTGCTTTTTTAAACACACATGTATCCAGTCCCTACTAGGTGTTACACACTGTTAAGTTCGGAGAGATGTTCTGGGTGAAAGTAGAGGTTCGTGTTCACATTAGTTTGTGAAATCGTGAGTCTGAAGCAAACCGCAACATCCCCCAGCACATACACATACGCACCATGCGACTCCTCGGGCTATGTCTGCAGTATGCGTGCTATTTGATCACGTACTTTTGGTTTGTTGGCTGGCTGATCTCGCAGCTCGTGAGTTCGAGCCCCGCGTCGGGCTCTGTGCTGACGGCTCAGAGCCTGGCGCCTGCTTCTGTGTCTCCCTCTCTTCCCGCCCCTCCCCCCGCCATGCTCAGCCTCTCTTCCTCTCAAAACTAAACAAACATGAAAAAAAAGTCGTTTTAATAAAGAAATAAAATAAATAAAAAATAGAAGTCAGAATGCTCTGTAGATGAAATGGCTGCCATGGGAGGTAGACAGAGCAGCCCTCCCCCGTCACAAACAGGGTTTGAACACAGGCCGAGCTGCTCTGTGGGAAGGAGGCTGGCGAGGACAACCAAGCACGCAGCTGGGTCGGAATAAATGCTCTCTCTCTCGTGTCCTACTTCTCCAAGAGTCCATGCCTCCATGATGTGAGTGTGTATTTCCATTCCAAGGAACCACAACTCCACTGGGTTTATCAACCCCTAGAGGGAAAATGGTAGTTTAGAAAGTTAGGTAACTTGGCATCTACGAGCATTCTCATTTTTTTTTTTTTAAGATTTGTCAAAAAAATTTTTAACTAATCTCTAACAGAAAACCATGGAGGAGGGGAAGGGGGGAAAAATTACAAATAGAGAGGGAGGGAAGCAAACCATAAGAGACTCTTAAAAACTGAGAACAATCTGAGGGTTGATGGAGGTGGGAGGGAGGGGAAAGCGGGTGATGGGCATGGAGGAGGGCACCCGTTGGGATGAGCACTGGGTGTTGTATGGAAGCCAAATGGACAATAAATTATATTTTTTTAAAAAAATTTTTAAGTAATCTCTACATCCAGGGCATCTGGTTGGCTCCGTGGGTAGAGCACATGACTCTCGATCTCAAGGTTGTGAGTTCAAGCCTCACGTTGGGCACGAAACCTACTTTAAAAAAAAAATAAGTAATGTCTACACCCAACGCGGGGCTTGAACTCACAGTCCTGAGATCAAGAGTCGCACGCTCCACTGACGGAGCCAGTCAGGCGCCCTATAAGCATTCTCATTTTATAGAAAGCGTTTTTACTCTACATCCTGCTGTGTAATAGCAATAATTCCAACCCTTGAGCTTTATTTCACAGTGACGCTCCCTCCCAGGGACAT